CACACGCATCATGTCAATAACATTAAAAAATAATAATAAATTTAGTATACATAAACTCCATTAGACAAAAAAAAAGATTCCGCAAAGTGCAGAGAGATGGCAAACTATCTCCACATACAGTGTGAAAAAAAAAACTCTCGAAACTTTATCTGGAAGTTCGAAGAGGCCTATTCTCAAACAACTTTTGAACAATGCATTGAACACTTTAATTTCTGGCCTACAACCCAAAAGTATAATTTCAATGAAAATTGTATCCGCTTCTAATGTTCAAGAGTTGTTATCAAGCAAGTGTAAAACATTGAATTTGGGTGGTACTCTAGAGCCTCCATTTGTGAAAGCAATGTCATGGTATTATCAATATCCCCTTCTTTGCACAACTCACATATTGTTTCATTGTATGAATCACGAGAAATCTCATTTTCAATACCATAAATATGATTTACATGCTCAGAAATTGAGCTGTGACTGAAATTTAAAGAAGACATAATTGATTTTGAGCCATATTTTTCGACTTTGTTTCATTGTATATATGAAAAATTTAAAATTTTGAAATTTGACTTGTAATTAAAGAATTTGAAAACAACTCTTCGCACTGTGTGGAGAGTTTTTTTTTTTATTCCGCACTGTGCGAAGAGTTTGTCAACTCCCCACATATGGTTCAACCTTTCCGCACTGTGCGGAGAGGTTTTTGCCCACTTTTTTTTTACTCTGCACATGGTTCAACTCTCTCCGCACTGTGCGGAGAGTTTTGTCATGATGCGGACCAACTCTCCGCATTGTATGAAGAGATTAACTCTCTCCGCACAGTGTGAAGAGTTTTTTTTACTCTCCGTACTGTGCGGAGAGTTGGTTTGTCATCTCTCCACACTGTGTGGAGAGGTTTTATCCTCTCCGTACCTTTTTTTAGTTTTATTTTTATTTTTAATCCGTACTTAGTTCAACTCTTTCTGCAATGTGCAGAGAGTTTTTTTTTTCAATTTTACAATATTGAATTACACAAAATTTAGAAATATAATATTTACATTCAATTCAATCATATCAACACTATCAAATAATACAAGCAAAATAGTTTGTTTCTTATCCAAGCATGAAATATACAAGCATATTTTTTCTAGATAACATATTGCTATGCAATTATAAAAATAATTTAAAATTATTTTCTTATATCATGGAATATTTTTAGATATTGCTTCAAAAACTTTCCAAAAAAACTAAAATTCATACACTAATAAAAATACGATAAATACAAAATTCGTACAACGCACGTGATATCGATTAGTATATAAGAAAAAAGGCTTATCCAAGATGTATACACATGTAGCAAAAAAAAAAAAGTGAAGACTATCGTGTATACAAATTGATTAAATCATGTGACTCGACGAATCAACAAACTCCAAAAACTAATCAACTCGTCTACTGATAAAAAGAGGCATAACAATATATATATATATATATATAAGTTTGTAACTCTTCGAGTGGAGTAAATAATTATACTTTTTGAATTTATACATATATATTTACTGAAAATGATTGATTTATACTATTACAACATGAAGTAATTCTAAATTTCATTATTACTTTCATGATTGAACATAATGGAATCATATAATTCTTTATACTTGACTTTAATAAAGCAATTATGAAGCATAAAGAATCTATTAGATTCTATTAATTCTAATATCAATAGAAATATGAGTAAAATTGCTATCTCACAATTGATAATACTATAAAATTAATTTTTTTCTTTTGTAAACTAAAATGTCATATGCAGCCTTTCTGTAAAATAGAACCTTTTTTCATCGACGGACTTCTTCCTTATCCAAAATACCAAATTTTAAGCTTTTTTTTCTTTAACCTTTGTTTCTTTGCTAGAACTTTCATTTGAAGCATGCGTGAAAGTTCAGACTTCATTCATTTTCATTTTTCAAGTCTTTAAATATTTTACGCTAGCATTTATTTTTTATTTTTTTTTGCTACGTTTATTTTGTTAAAGAAAGTTATTTGTTTGAAAAGGTGTTGGACAGTAACTTTATTTGAAATTTTCTTCCACTTTTTGTTTTGTATAAACTTGATCAACTTGACCAAATAGGAGGAATTCTTCGATTTTGACCGTGCCTTTTCAAGAAGAAAATTGAACTAAAGATTATTTTTAATAAGGTAATTAGAATTTAAATTGACACTCCAATCCAAAATCATCCAATTAGACTCGCTATGTGACGTGCACCGACGATGGATGCAAACTTGGCACCGTATCTACCACAAAGGCTAACTTTGAATTTCTCTCATACTATTGACTAAAACAACTTGAAAAGTAATAAAATTTTCCAAACATAATATAAATTGAGGATCATATGCCTCTAAACACGTACTAATAAAAAATAACGTATAGGCGACTCGATCTCTAATTTCATTTATTAAAACAGCCCCAAATATATATATATATAAAATAAAAGATGCAGCGAGCCATTAGACTATATACATGTAGAAGATGGTTTATCCAATATGATTAGCATGTGCCCCAGAAAAATAAATACTACATGATCTAACCAAAGGTTTAATGAATTTTCACATGATAAATCTTGAATTACATAAATATAGAGATATTATAAATGATTTTATTAATATTCATGTACTTAAAAATTTTAATGGGTGTTTAAATTTATTTATTAACAATTAATTTTTATGTATAACATATAATATTAAAAAAGTGCTCATTTATAGTATTTCATCTTTACAAAAAATTTGACTCATAGAAATTGAGTTTTGAGGGTACAATTTTCTCCTCTTAAATTTCTATACTAAATTATATTTTTTTTGATTCGTTCGAAACTCATCAAATTCTCCAACAAAGTGATACAAAATATTACTTTTACATTACTTATAAAGTATTTTAGAATAACGTGTAGTGCACGTTCAACTTTAATCAGTATAAGTAAATATGTCATCTCATAAAACTATAACTAAAATCTTAATAATGTAAAATTAATTAGCAACAATATACTCCAAAAACAAACACACACACACACACAAAGAGATATCTTTCAATAACTATACACGTGTATTTATTAATCTTGATGTACGTGGCAAAGGTACTCATAATTTAATAATTTTAAAATTCTAATCATATGCATAGAGCTAATAAAAAATGCTAAGCACTCTAATACACAACCCAAAGTCTCTGTAGGAGAGCGATTCCCAAAGACCTCTAATAATATGGTTATACAGTGTGAAAATAAATTTATGCAATCACACTGATAATTTATACACTATAGAACACGTAGATATTTACACCTTATCTTTTCTTTCTCTTCACCTTGAAGATAATAGGTGACTAAATGAATTATTCTTTTATAATAATTTAAAACTTTTAGATGATGAAACATCTGGTGACAAAATACTTAAGGATTGTTAATTGAATCTTGTTGTCACTTATTTATGAGTATTCTATGCAAAGGAGTGAAGATAATATATGA